GAGAGAGGGGGGAGGAGGAGAGAGAGAGAGAGAGAGAGAGAGAGGAGTTCTGCGAAACGTCACGAGTCGAGTCGTTTTCATATTCAAGAAACGTTATATTCCGCTGGAATCTCTGGGAACGTGCTTTATATTCCGGGATGAAGGCGCTGTTTGAATTTTAAACCGGTGTTGGAATCTTGCTGCTCGATTGTTCTCCTCGTTCTATCTCGTGTGTGTGTGTGTGTATATATATATGTATGTATGTATGTATGTATAAAGCGGCGTACACCGATGTGTCATTCGTAATAGGAACATCGGGATGTCAATTTTTGAACGGGGCTGATCGATCAAACGTCCGACACTGCTTGCGTTTCATTTTACAAGCGTGGATATATCGGGGCGGCCGCCTATGCAAATTAACCAAACCGGGGGGGGAGGAGGGGGGAGGGGGGAATAGATGGCAGATTCCAACTTTCCAAAAAACGAGCTCGATAAGCATCGAGAGCTCGCGTTAGAAACGGCGAGATCTTGTTTATTCGACTGCATTTGGCAAAATCAATCGGCCATTAATACGCGTGTGTAATCGGATCCATTTCGAACGTTGTATCTATCGTTTGACGATCGTATCGATTCGAATTCCTCCTGTCTTTTTTCTTTTTAGACGAAATTTATTTCTTTCCTTCTCTAAGAAGAGAAGAGAATTTCCTTCCATTCTCTCGTCATTATCCTCGTTAACCACGGGGAGATTGGCGATTTACTCGTCATCTCTCGTCCATTTTCAATTCCCAATTCTCTCCACGATTCCTCTCCCGGCCGATAAACGACATCCTCGATATCGACTTTCCCCGGAACCGCCATTAATTCCTTCCCTTCCCTCGGAAAGAAGAAAAACTCGCCTCGATATTTCTCGACATCTGTTCCCACGCATCCCGCCCCACGCTTAATAATATGCTCGTGTGCAGAATCGTTTTTTTTTTTACGATCGATGTCCCTCTCCATCGGCCGCGTTTATTACACTCGAGACGATCGAAAAGTCGAGCGGACCGTTTCTTCTTTTTCCCCACTCCTTCTTTCGAATCGGACGAGACTCCACAACCTCGAAGAAGATAATCGACGCGTGCAAATATTTACACGAGTTGAACGAGGTTCGCGGGACAAGAGGCGGCCGTTCAAAGCGAATTCTCATCGTTTGACAAATTAGCTTCGCTCTGGCTGCCTCTCTCTGCCTCTCTCTCCCTCCGATTTGATCGAGACAACGGGCGAATTAATTCTCTCGGCGGTTTGATTTCGTTCGTAGCGTTTTCACAATTTCGCGCCACCGGTGTCGTTTATGAAAACCCTCGATTGCACTCAACCACCACCCCCGTCTTCCAACCTCCTCCCCCTTGTGGTGTCGCTACACGCGTGCAACACGCACACGCCTCCCTCTCCGATGTAGCAGCGCGTCGAGGGAGTTTCTCGCGCGTCGATGCGCCGCACAGATGCTTGCTTTAACGTCAACCGTGTAACCACGGCGTCGCACCTCCGGCGTCGCGACGACAATTAAGCGGCGCACGACCCTCCTTTGAACTCGGTGTCAATTTCGCCGCCGAATCAACTGATTCTATTTGCCGTCGAGTAATTACCGCCATTGGCGTATCCGCCTGTCAAACGGCCAATAATTCTCGTTCGACGCTTAATTAACGTGTCACGGTATCTATATATATATATATTCTTCCTCATTCTTTTTCCCTTCCATCCCCAACAATTATACGTTTCGATCGTGCGTGACATCTGGTTGTCCAACAAGAGCCGCGTAATCGCCACGAGTTCCTTTCTTTTCTCCCTCCTCTCCTGTTTTTCGTTCGATCAATTTCCGATTCTCTCTCTCTCGCTTGATGGATGAGCTACGATCGAGGTGAGGGGGGGTTTAATAAATCAACATCCATCGTTGCCCGCTCGCGGAGACAAACCGCGGAAGACACAGGTAAGCGTGAAATCCCTGTCCAACACCGGCTTTCACGTTTCCCCCTCCGTCCACCCGATCGATCGCTCGTTCGCGCGTGCCTCGTCGGACACTTTTCTTTTCTCGCGTGGATCGAAGCGTGTGATCCTGTCGAAGGTTGGCTTTAGCTGAACGAATGTATTCGATTATAACGTAATTTTCGTGTAAATGTTTACACGAGACAAGTGTATCGAGGAAGAACGAACAGATGAAATAATAATAATAACAATAAAATTTCAGCGAAGTTTAAATTGTGTGGAACGAAGCCGTACAATTCTCAATCTCGAACAAGCTTTGGAACAAGTTGATGCGATAATAAAATGTTTGGGGGGGGGGAACGAGAGAAATCTACGTCGAGAATCTGGTTCTCGAAGGAAGCCGCTATCGAAACATCCGAAAAACACCCTCCTCGAACGGGACAAGTTGCTCGATTTTCCACGGAACGTGGCGTGAAAAGAGCGGAAGAAGGAGCGGCTTGCTCTCCGTCTTTATCCGTCTCGAGAACGCACCGACTCTTACGGTCAGAGATAATGGATAACCACCGAACGTATGTTACGTGGAGAGCGGGCTTATCGCAGAGGGACGGCCAGCGGCCACTTATCGACTCGCCACGAGTTTGACGAGCTTCCTCGGGTGAAACACGACCGATCGAAACTCCTCCTCCAAGGAGAGGGAGGAGGATCTCTCTCGTGTTGGCCGACGATAAAGGAAAGTGTCTCGCGATGTTCGAGCTGCTTGCCTCGGGAGCAAGTTATACGCGTAATAGTAACGCTCGGATCGATAGTTTCCCGGTGTGTTCGCCTGCACTTTTCCAATACACGGTCCACCACGCTTGGATGTTAGAACGAATCTGCCATCCTCGCTTTTCCAAAATGGTGGCCGGCTCAAGCAGTCGGCGGAAACGCAACGCTTCGCTCGCAAGATTTGCGAGGCGGATTACGCAAATTACGACAGCCTTCCCTCTTTGGATTCGAGGCGGAAGGGGAGAGAAGGGGGGAGTCAGCGTCCAGGGTCGAAGGGAACGGAAGTTTGCGCTACCGAGGAGAAATTCGAAAGGCGAGGTTTGCGGGATTTCAGGATTTTGAACGTGGTGGGGGGATTCGCGACGCGTAGCGACTGGAAGGACAAGGGAAGGAGAGAGGGAGAAGTTTTCGCCATTGTATGGCGTCTCATAAATCTTGGATGACGAAATATATATATATACACGAAGAGTTTTGGATTTCCACAGAGAGTTTTCCCATAATGAAACTCTCTTTGTCGAACTTCTCCTTCCAAGCTTTGGAAAATACGAGCTATCTTTTATTATTAAAACAGGGGTAAACCGCGCTCGTTTCTCGAAGACAAAGGGAGGCGGAGAGGGAGGGGATAAACTCTGTCGTCGTCTAAACGACGAGACGGCTGTTATCGATGAAAGAGAGGGAGGGAGGGAGAGAGAAGACAGAAGAGCAAAGTGGATTGGGACTGCACGTGGCGCGTACTTACAGATTGTAGTGCACGTCCGCCATGTTCGGTCGATAGCGAAGCGCCTGGACGAACGCCTCCTCCGCCTCCGCCACGCGTCCCTGGGCGCTCAGCACGCTGCCCAAATTACCATAAGCTGCAACAATCACAATGGACATTCGTTAGAGGGGAACGGTCAGCAGGGAAATGGGAAGAGATGAAAAATATATATAGAGCCACGAATGCAAACACACGGAGGGACGATACATCTTCTCGCGATAGATTTTTAAACTTCTCGAGAAGCAATAAGGATGCACCATCCCCTTTTTTGTCCTTCCTCTTCTTCCTCCGTCTCTTTCTATTTACGAGCAATAAACCCGCACGCGATGCCTCGAATATCGCGGCGGAGCGAGCACGCCTGCCCCCCGCCCTCTTTCCGCTTTTTATCTCGGGCCAACAATATCGGCGATAAAACATTTCCCTCCCTCCGCGCATCCACCGATGGCTACTCGAGCGGAGAGAGTAATAAATGAATCCGCGCTCGTAAAATTGCCTCGTCGACCTTCGTGCCCCTCCGTTTCCTTCCGAATCGTTTCGAACCGTTTGACCGAGAACCGCTCGAAATTTTTCACCCTCGCGAATTTTTTCCCCGCACGTTTCGAAATGAAGACGCGAGGAATCGAGATTTCCTGGTGGAGAAGAAGAAGAAGAAGAAGAAGAAGAAGAAGAAAACGTTATAATGAGTTTAGAAAACGTGGTAACAAGATTGTTGTAAAAATTGTAATTCAACGTTTCGTTAATTGCTTTTCATCAACGCGTTAAAACACTCTATTTTTCAACGCGGTATGCAATTCGATCGCGAGCTTTGCAAATTTAAATCGGGGGGAGGGGGGGGCCCGATTTTAATTGGCAAGCAGCGTCGTTTTGAGGCCGCGTTTCGAAGATTTCTCTCAAAAATTGAGAGAGAGAGAGAGAAAACGCGTTCCACATTTTTCCCACGATCGAGCGTCCTCCGCGGTGATTCGATCTAGTTAGCCGGCTCTTTTCAACCGTGCCGTGGCGAATCGAGAAATGGGGGCGCGCGCGAGCTTGAATCAGAGAGCAGTGACTGCGCCGCGATGTAAATGAAGCGGATGATGGATCGAGCGTCGCAAGGGGCGGGCGAAAGAAACGCGAAATCGAGAAACGATTATTACACGCGTCACCGCCCTGCAAATTTTACGTGTGTGTCTTCACGAGCGCGAACCAGCTTCGGATTGTCGAGAATATTTATCCTCTCGTTAACTTCCTTCCTCCCCCCCCCCCTAAATTTTCCACTCGAAGATCGGGGGAGAGATGAAAATGGAAAGGAGAGAGGAGAGAAACGTTCGTGCGAGAAAACTTAGGAAAGATCTTAAGAAGATTCGTTTCGAAACCGACGAATTTCCTCCCAGAAAAGCTTACTAAGAAAAAAAAGCTCCTCCTTTCCTTTTTTTTTTTTTCTTCATCTCCTTCCTTCGAAACGAAAAATAAAGGATTCCCGTCTAACTCGGCCGATAATCCACAAGCTCGGACGTTTCGAATCAACGGCGATAAATAAACGCGATAAATCGCCTCGAAGCATATTTCATCGTCGCGCGATTCTATCGAGCGAGGCGCGTGTTTCCGTGCTGCTGGTCTCGCCTCGATTTTACGCTCGCTAACATTATCGCCGCCTTCCATCCCTGGAAAATCGAGCCCTCGATTCTTTCGCTCGAAACCGCCTCGGGACACGCTTAATCACTCTCCCCGAAGAAACCTCGAGGAATTTTCTTCCTCGAAAAATAACTCGATTCGATACGAAGTCCAACAATCGCGACGAAGAAGACGTTCGTTCTAACGACGAACTTGGCTGACTTTTCAAGTTGAGCGAGAAGCGAAGGAGAATGGGGAAAGATCGTGGAGGGCTCCGGATCCTCGTTTAACTTTGGCGTTCTTTCGTGACCGATAATCTCACCTTCTCCCCCTCCCGTTACGCAAATTTACCGAATGGGCAGGGAGCAGGGAAACGCACGCGATCGGGAATTAAAACGGTTGGATCGAGTTTTCGCCACCGAATCGCGGTGTTCACGGCTTTCGTTCGCCCCTCCCCCGCGAAGATATCGAAAGGACGTCGTGAAAACCGAGGCGTTCGGGTTGGGTAATTAGGGGATGCTGGAGGCAAGGAGATAAAGCCGGTAGAAAGGGGATGGGCGGCGAAAAAAACGGACAGAGACGGATAAGGGGAACGATAAAGGGGGTCGAGGTCGAGGAAACGACGATGCACTCTCGAACCGTATCACCGATTCATCGAGCACGGAAGAGGAGGAGGGAGGAATACGAATATCCTGGATTACGCGTCAAAGTTTGGATGGGGAATCGATCGAGCGAAGGAGCATATTCGTCGTGTATAATAAACCGCTGATAATTGAATAAAAATTCATTTTTGATGGGGTGTGTAAAAACGTGTGCAATTAATAATTATATGAGATGAGATGAGATAGGAAATGCGATCTATCTTTGGAAACGAGTCGAAATCCGGCGCAAAGAATCAGACGCAAATTGAAATTTGACGCGTGAAATTTTACTAATATAACAATAAAAATAATGCGTTCTTTCGTAATAAAAAATAAACGCGATATTTTATTCTTAGATCCGGTACAAAGTGATCGATATATATATATATATATATATATCTCGAATACACGAGATTCTCGCGATAAGAATATACACCGCCAAGTTGTTACGATAAAAAGAGTACGCGTGTTAAACGCGTTTAAAAAGATGGAAACAGAAAGGGGATGGAAGGAGGATATAGAGAGGGATAGGAGGTGGCAGTGGTCGCGTTATCGTCGCGTATCGCGTATATATATCCGGTTGGGCAAGAATTTTATAGGGGGCGGAGATGAGGGGGTGGATAGCCGATCCTCGACGCCGACTCGGCAACGATACGCGGCCAATTTCATTTTTACGTCGGCCCATATATTTCGTCTCCTCCTCCCCCCCGCCCCATCCCCGCCGCCGTCCTCCGTATCTGGTTTCGATCATCCCTCCCCCCCTCTTGCCCCGGTTCGTTTATCATTAGCACGCGACTCTTTATTACCCGTTATCTTTTTAATTCGTCCTGCACGCGCGACGACCAATCTTTATCGCCCCTCCCCTCTCTCGCCTCCCCTCCCGTGCACATGGGGGAAGGGAGAGATGAAAACGTTGAAACGTTTTAACAGGGGTCCGCGAGTGGCCCCATACACGGGCGACGATTTTTCTTCTTCAAGAAAAATAAGATTTACATTTGTGTATTTATATTTAAGAAGGTTATCAGGCCAAGTAAGAAGAGAATGTTATATAAATGTATGTATAATAATAAAATATAGGAGAGCGATTATATATGGCGAATATATGAATGCGAAGAGTTAATTTGATATTTAAGAATAATAGAGAAGTAGAGGGACAAGTATGATTCGTTAGCGAGTCACTCTGCATTTTTATACAATTTTGAATCTAAAATTGAATCCCGGTATATGGTAACATGCAGGAGGGTGTTCTAATTACCACCGATAATATAGAACCGAGTTGAAGTTGCCATTTATTATATTCGGACGAAGAAGTAGAAGTAGAAGGCAGCGAAATTGCATTAAAATATATGAAATAAAAATATCAAAGCTACATCGCTCTGTTTACGTTCCTACATTTGGCAACATTTGAGAAACTCGACGAAATCACGACGAACGTGTTAAACGCGATCTGCGAAAAAGGACGGTGCACCTTTTTCTCACCTTTGGGCGGGTTGACGTGCAACGCCGACCTGTACAAACTCTCCTCGTCGAACCAGTCGGCGTTCCTCAACAGAGTCTTGGCCGACATGAGGGAGACGAGTATCGCGGTGGCCGCCAGCACCGCCCTGCCCCTCCTCCTCGACCCGTGCCTTCTCGCGATCTGGTGGAAGCCCGAGATGGCCGTGCCGACGATCAGGCACGCGCCCACGCTCGGCAGATAAAGGATCCTCTCGGCTATCACGAAGCCCACGTAGAAGAAGAGGTTGCTTGCAGGCAGGAAGGGGAGCACGAGGAAGCCGAGGGAGGCGGCCACGCCGCCCGCCGACCCGTAATAATAGTGGCTGCTCGTTGGCCCACCGGTGGGCCTCTTGGCGCAGTGGCAGTCGCCGATCGGCCCGTTGTTGTTGTTGTTCGCGGCCCGGCACCCGTCCGTGTGGCATCCGCCCGCTCGCCTGCCCGCGCACACCGGGCACCTGGACGAGCGGGGATACTGGACGAGGGGGGTGGACGAGGCTGGGCGGCGACGGAGGGCCCTGGCGGCCCAGATCGAGGCGGCGATCAACGCCGCGTAGAGGAGGGCCGACTCGAGGTTCCTCGCGTCGAGGAGGGTGGTGATGCGAGGCACAGCGTCCATGGACCAGTCGAAGCTGAGGGTGCTCGGGCAGAGCAGCATCCTGGCGCTGGCAGCGGGCAGGTAGAGGAAGGTGAGGCCGCGCGTGAAGCGGAGGGGTGCCTGGCGGTCGGGTTGTCCGCGCTCGCGAACTCTGGCCTCGTCCCCGTGATCCTTAGCCTGCCGAGGACGAGGAGGGCGAGGCTGCCTGAAAGGACGCCGATGCTGCGCGTCCGTGTCACGAGGCCGCAATTCCCAACCTGGAAGAAGACGCGTGTGTATAAATATAGCGATTGGAGCGATTGATCAGGACCGTGCTTTCTTTCTTTCTTTTTTTTTTTTGATCGAGCGAAATGATTTAATTTGGAAGATTAATTTAAAAGCCACCGTCGAAGGAAGGATCTTAGTAATAATTGCGCCTTGGAATCCTCTCGTTTAAACTCCGGGATGTCCGAACTAATTTAACCGGGAAACGAAACTCGTATCTACGTAGCACGTATGAAAAGAGCGAGTTTCACGTCGAAAGCATTAATTTAAAACCGGAGCTCCCTTTTTAGAAGAAAACCCCTTTGGGCTTCGATACCCGCAAAAATAGACGCGTCTCGCCTTGGAAAAGGAAAAACAGAGAGAAATATATGATATGCCTTCGTAGAACAGGTCAGCAAAAATTCGTGTCCCGAGTTATTTTTCGTCCAAGGCATAAACAGAATCTCGAACTGGCAGAATTATTCGTATTTCGAAACGTTAGACGACAGGTTTCGTCGTACGATAAAAATGGAAAGGAGGAAATTGGATAAAGGAAATGGAAAATAGTTTAACGCGGAATATAATTACGGCGGGTTATAAGAAAATGAGGGGGGAAGCGTGCACGGCACGCTTAATCGACGCGGCGCTTTCGAGAGGTGGTTCCGGCCAAATGAAAAGTAACGTCGAAAGCTTTTAAAGCGAGCCGTGGCGCGAGGTAATGCGAAAGCGACATTTTAATGGTAAATTGCGAGGCCGCGGGAAGAAGTGGCGATAATTGCGAGACCCGGAATTGCCAGCCCGGGTTTTTGTTGGCCGCGATCCCATCGCGGGCGATAGATTCCCTTCCACCATGCTTTTAAGCGCGACCGCGAAAAAGATCGGCCGCCCCTCGTGAATTGGAAAGTGGGCGAGGAAGGAAAGGCGTCGCCGCGGAGCTTCGTCGCCGATCACTTTCGATGGAAGTTCGTTCGAAAGGAAATCCTCGAATTCGGCTAATCAAGGGGCGGGAACTTTGGCCAAGTTTGGCGGGACCCACGCTTGGCGGCAATAATTCGTGTGACTCGCGTTCACACTTTTCCTCCCCCGCGATAAACCCGCGAGAATTCTCGGGCAGCGAAGTCTGGCAGCGGCGAATAAAGGGTGGCTGGCTTGGACGAAGGAAGGATCGTAACGTTCCATTAATAACTCGAAACAATTTTGCATCCCTGAGGGAAGGAAACGAAGATGTCTCGGATTTCGAGGAATAACGCCGTGATAAGAGGAAAGATACGAACGAGAGAATGGAAGTTGCTGCGACGTTGCACACTCGGAAGAGTGTGGAGAGACGCGAACGACGGTTGGCAGCCCTCCAACATCGGCTCGGTTCGCGACATGCATCACGCCAGGCGTCCGTTGCATCCAGCGCATCCGGATGTTGGAGGAAGGGGAGAAAAGCGAGGACGCCTCCAAGGTGGAGGAAGTCGAAGGTGGCTCGAACGCCGTGCATCAAGGCCCCTGTCTCAGCCAGAACACCGGCACGGTCGCGTTTGCACCACGCGTTATCGGTTACGCGTCGTTCGAGGACGATAAGACGAGGAGGATCGAGAGATTCGACGATTAACGCGGCTCGTCGCTGGACTCCAGCGGACAGGAATTAATCCCTGGCTTGGGTTTTCTCCTCGGCTCTTTCGCCATTAATTTGATTACGTCTGTCCATTTTCACTTGTTAATATTCGTAATTCACGATAATGCGTCCTCAGTCTTTCCGTCCTTCGCACGAATCCTGTATCGAAATTGTGGCGTAGAAGCCAACGAAAGGAACCGATGGTTCGACGATGCTTACCTTACGACTCGACTCGCCGCGGCACAATTCCCACAAAAGACACAGAGCCAGCGAGGATATCCCCGTCTCCTTGGCGAGGGTGGCCAGGGTGGAGGAGACGAGGGCCAGAATCAAGGGAAACGGCGACCTGGCGCGCTCGCAGTGGGCGCTGTACGCGAGGAACGCCAACAGGGTGAAGAGGCAGGCGAGAAGATCGGCGCGACCGACCACCCCGGCCACCGCCTCGCTGTGGATCGGATGCGCCGCGAACAGGAAGCCGGTGATCGCGTGGCCGAGGCTGTTCCTTCCCGGCAGTACCTGCAACAACGCGACAAATCCTCGGTGAATTCGACGGAGAATTCGAGAAAGAGAGACCTTTCTCCCGTCCGAAAGGTCTCAGCGCAGCTCTTTCGAGAACAATGAATTTCGCCTATAATACAATAATAGGGAGAAACTTATTCGACGATAAATGGGATCCGAGCAGCAGTAGTTCTCTAATAACCGATTCTGGTGATTCACCGATTTCGGAGAAGAACGACGGATCGAAACGATTTTCCAGCCGAGCGATTGAAAAAGTCGAAAGCGCGGATCGGATAATCGGTTATCGCGGATGGCAGGCAGGTGACACGCGATTATTAACATAACATTTCGGGATTAAATGTAGCGGTAAAATTTTATTATCGTCATAACTTGCGATGTTATCGCAGACACGTGTGACGCGCGCGCGCTCTACAGGTGTCAACCATTATTTCGTTTTCTCTGGTGGCGAAATCAAACGCAATGTGTCCGGAGTTAATCGAAAATCAGATGAACCGGATCGACGGCGGAGATCGTCCCCCTCCTCGCCTTTTTCCCCGATAAATTTCAATCGGCTGATATAACGGCTGTTCTATCCTTTACCTTTCTGGCCACTCTGACCACGAGCACGGTGCAGGCGGCGTGGAGCGCGACGTTCACCAAATGATAGCCCCAAGGCTCGAGCCCTCCCACCAGATGATTCAGGCGAAACGTGGCCACGCAGAGGGGCCTGTAGCTCCCGTGAGAGCCTCGATCGCTCAACGGTGTGCCCCAGAAGTCGTTCTCCAACAGCTTCGACCACGGTGTGCTCGACAGGAGGTCTGGATTCGTCAGGATCGCTCTTCTGCAACACCAATCATTTGTACCTCCGATCATTTTGTCACAAACAAATCGTCCGATATTTCCTTTTCAAAACTCGAACGGATCTATACATATCCACGTACACGTGTGTATATCGGTTTTAACTTCGGATCTGGTCTTAGAAGGAGGAGGAGGAGGAGCATCACCGCGGGTCGTGGTATTTTAATCGACCGGGTGGATCGATACTCACGAGGTGTTTCGGCTCGTCTCCGATACCGCGGCCGACGCACCTGAGCCATCTTCGTCGAGGAAATGGGAGCCAATAATTTCGAATTCCACGGCCCTTCGATAAACCACTCACCCCTGCTATCTATTCATGAACAAGGATCGTGTCGCATTTTCTACGTGAGTTAAGGCGCATCTCCCGTCCTTGGACATCCGCAATTTTGGACCGAGTTCGATCCTTTTCCAATTCGATTGTATTTTCGACAAGAAAGAGAAGATTTGACATGGAAATTTAGCGTAAACGACTCGAGGCTTACGCGTGCAAAGAGGAGGAGAATTTGTCAGCAGAGGAGCTAACTTGTTCCTAATTGCTAATTGTAATAGAAAATGCGTAAAGCTACGCTAATTGCCTGCCTACACGTAATAAGCATAATCTCGAATTTGATTTCCCAATTATAGAGGCGAGTGAATCGTAAATCTACGATAGGCTGGAATTTTCGTTTAATCGCGCGATTAGAAACAATTAGAATAATTTCGAGAAAAATCGATGGTGGAATTTCTGGAGAGGATCGTTTCGAGAATCACGATTGGGGAGAAAATTCATTAGAATTGGGGAGAATTGGAAGCGACGGGGGGAGAGAGGGTCTGGGAAACGGCTCGACACGAACGAACGGGGATGCCATGTAAACTTCCCTCGTCCCTGTTTATTTCAATTTCCGGATCCTGTCAGCCCACGTTACGTACGCGCTCACGCGAAATTCCAAAAGAAACAACGCACACACACGCACGCACACACCAGGATATCGGAACCGTTACCTCGCCTCTATTTCGTTACGTTATTGGCCTCGTTAATGTCGATCGAACATTAACGCTCGTTGTTCGTTCGGAAATATGAATGTTTAATGAAAATGTTTTTCCGCTTTTTCCTCTCTCTCTCCCTCTCTGTCTCCCTCTTCCCGACCGGCGAAAATAAACAGTCGGCAATCGAAATTCGCCACCAATAAAATTTCTCCCCAACCATTATTATATATATCTCGGCAGTTTCGTTCGACCGAGGAAAAAGACGAATGGATAGAAAAAGGAAGAGAGAGGAAGGAACGAAATGCCAATAACCAGAGGAGGCGGGAAACGAGCAATTAAAGGGTAAAAGGAGATCAACTTGGAAGCTGTCTAACGTCGAGTAATCCGAGGTATTAGTCGAAGGCATCGGTGATATTAAGCATCTGTCAGAACTGTCGCGAAACGGGGACACTCTCCTTCTCGCCTCTCTCGAGCCAACTTGCCCCGCTCGTGTGTACACGTTCGCGGTATTCCCCGGGGACTATTTCTGACAGTACACGTGACGTTAATGAAACTCGGTCCCCGAGTCTAACGGAGCAACTCGGGACGTGACTGCACGCGGCGGAGAGGGTTTCGCAAGGCTGGAAAGGGTGTGCTCCCCCTCTCGAGCACGGGCTAATACCCGGCTCCATCCAACCCCTTTAAGCCCGGCTGCTCGACTTACGTAGCCGATTCAATTTTACCACCCACCCCCTCCTTTTCTTTTTCTTCTTCTTCCTCCGTCCAATCGGAAACCGTTTAGGTCAGAATTATCGCCCCCCCCCCCAACGAATTTTAATGAATTACGACAGGATATAGACATCGATATTAGCGATTATTAAAATCGACCGATGATTAATCTTCGAGGGCCACCATCACGATAGAGAGAGGGATCCAGTTTCTTCTGTTTAAAAAGTGATGCTACGTCGTGTATATGATAATTTGGCGGACAGACGATTCAACTCTATCGGCCCGATTCGAAAGGGAGAGACGAGGAGAAAGGGAGGAGAGAAAGCGTTGAATTCGACGCTTCGTTCTTTCTTTTTCTCTTCACCCCCCTCCCCCCTTTTTTTTTATCCTTATGGCGAAATAATATTTCACAGGGACGAAATTCGATAACAACCGCGGTCGCGTTGGACGTGAAATTTTCCCTCGAGGCTTTCCCCCTTCGATCAAATTCGGATACGAGAGAGAGAGAGAGCGGTCGTAAATCGTCGCTCGTGTTACGATCGATTTCTGTTTCTATTTGACGGCTACGTGACTTCCCCGCGGATCGAGGATAGAAATTCACGGGACGCTATTTTCCTCCACGCACGCACACACATGCGGAGAAGCCGGCTCCTCGGAGATAGCCCCGGGGATGAGGCCGGCAATTTGCACCGCGTTCCTCCGCGTCGCCACCCTTTTTCCCATCTCTCCGGGGGAGGACGAATCAACGACGAGGAAAGGAAGGGTGGAGCGAAGATGTCCGAAAGAACGATAAAAGAACCGTGGACGGGAGTAACCGCGACGAGCAAGCTACGTTATTTCCAAGAAGATGGCCTCCTTCTCCCCCGCGAAGAAGAGCGAGGGAATAAATACCTGACTAAATCGCCCGGAAAACTCATTCCATCCAGCCGGGAAGGGTTTTAGGAAGGCTCGGCCGGTGGCTCGTTCGAGCGGCACATGGCGCCATCCCCCTTGCAATTTCCAAAGTGAGGCTTAAGTCACGCCTGCTAGGTGTGACGGAACAGGAGAGTGGCGGTCGTAAGTTAAGTCGTAAAGGGACGCGATCGACCGCTTAAACTTTTTCGTCTTCTTCGTCCTCCTTTCTTGTCGAATGAAGGAAGGAAGAAAGGAAGGAGGGAAGGAGGGAGGGAAGGAAGGAAGGAAGGAAGGAAGGAAGGAAGGTTGGCTGTATGGAAGCTGCTATCTCGTTTCGAACATCCTCTTTCGGGATTAGGATTTACGTGGAACGGATGGTGTCGAATCTAGACTCGGGTACGGATCGATCAGGGCGGGTATGGCGAGGAAAGATGGTTTGGCGTTACGGATGGATCGCGCCATCCGATGCTTAGAATCCGAGGGAAGGTAAATGCGAGCGCTTTCTCACGCGCTGCCGAGAATCGCGATGAACTCCAATCGCGAATGGCCCAAGCGCGATGGAATTTTCTAGGCCAACGTAAACCAAGATTCCTTCCTCTCCCTTATCTTTCCCCTCGCTACATTCGTTTCTTAATCTCGAATTCCTTAACGAGATTGACGAAATTGTCGAGAACAGTTTGAAACGATCGACACGTTCGATACTCGTCGGCGAAGGCGGGATCGTTGCTGGAGGAGTTGTTCGGTGTGTAAAATCGTTATCCACCCGGGAGGAATAAGTCTCGCTTATTGAATATTTCACCAGCGCCTGGAACATCTTTAAACGCGGTACACGCCGGTATAACCGGCGGAATGGGCGAAAGGCGCGGGTAAATCAGGAGGTATAATATAATATATAAAGGTCGAGAAAGTTGGGGAAGAGCTCGGTTGCCGTCGTAAAACTGGTCTTCGGGTCGAGGAATGGAGAAACAATAAGGCGGGAGCAATCCCTGGCCCACGTGCGCGCGATAACATTTGATAGACGACGAGTTTTACGACCCTCCTCCTCCTCCCCTAATTAGACGCGGGCGAAGAGGAGAAGGGAGCGAGCGGAGGAGTAGTCGTCGCCAACTTCCAACTCTTCTCCTCCTTTGTTCCTCCAGAACTATTCGATATGCATCATCGAACGCGATAAGATCCGCAGACTTTCCATGTACCATGAAATAACGGAAGTTATTCAATCTCGAGGAGACGGGGCCGCCAAGTTGATAAAGGGAAATATATCCCACACCCCTCCCCCGTCCTCCCCCTCTTGGGAGGGGCGTTGCGCGCATCGGGAATATTCAGAGAGGTCTGGTAAAACTGCATCCGAGCCACCGAGTAAATCATCCGGCGTCGCTACTGTTTTATTCGCCGTTGGAAATAAAGTTCCAATTTCAGAATTCGGAATTTATTAGCCCAAGTTTCGCTTGCTAAACTCGAGTATATATAAGCAGCTGGGAAGAGAGGGACGGAAACGTCGGTGAATTTTTATCCAATTTTTTTTTTCCCCCAATTAATATTCGAATCGCGAATTTCGAACATTGATCTCGCGCACGCGAAAGGAATTATTCCCCATTATTTCTCCAACGCGATTCGTCCATATTTGATCGAAACGAGAAGAAAAAGATTGATGATAATTTAATCGATCAACGATTATTTCTTAAGACAAAAGCATACTTATCGCTTGAAAAACATCGACGATACAACTCGACGTTCCTCGAAATAACATCGCGGCGACGAACTTATACTTATTTTTCCTACTCGTTTTATCGGATATAACTCGCCTTACAAATCGACGCAACCAACTTCTCTCTTCCTTTCTTTCTCCGTTTCTTTTCCCAAATTCCAAGAGAAACTTTGCGATTTCGAGTGGTGTAAAGCTACAAGTGGTGTAACCACGCGACGATTCATCGATTCTCGATGTTTTAATAATCGTGTAATGATAACGATGCCCCATCGTTGGTCGAGACAACGACATTCTCTCTCTCTCTCTCTCTCTCTCTCTCTGAAAAGAGAAAGGGGAAGAGGTACGAGTTTCGCGACGCGTGTTACTCGAATCGAACCTCTCGCGACAGAGGCGTGAAAATCGACAACGAAAATCGAGCAGGCATTTCGTCCTACCCCCTTTGAGGATAGGCGAATATAAAAGAGCGAAAAGGAGGGGAAGGACGATGCCGGGTATATAGACGCGCCTATATACCCTTTTATACCCGGAGAATCCAAGAACGTCGTAATAGAAACCCCCGACAGGGGTCAATCTCCTAACGGTCGATCCCGAAAAGCCAACCCACCTTCCATTCATCGATCACCCTCGGCTCAATCTCGGCTTCGATCTAGACTTATTCCATTCCCGAATAAGCCGCGCACCGCACTTCCCTCCAAAGTCATCGAGGCTCT